CTCTTCTTTGGATAACTGTGCGGCGTCTAAAAAATTTCCAATTGAACAAATCATTATAATTAAAAAATGCAAGCAGATTTAAAAAACCTTTCCTGATGTAGTCGATCTGAAATCAGTCGAAGTCAATCGAAATTAGTTAAATTCAGCTAAATTGAAATAAATTCAAAAACGTATCAAATTCAGCTGTTTCCCCCTTGGGAATCAAGCACATAGCGTATATAAAAGCGTATTTTGAATTTAGTTCGTGTACTGTACGCTTTGAAACAAAGGCGTCGGCATAATGTTAGAAACATTGGTTGTCTGTGAGCAAATTAAAAAATGGCGGTCAGATATTCTATGATAAGCCAATCACAAGAGAGAAAAATAGAAAATACTTTGGCAGAAAATATTCAAAGAGATGGCTGACATATGTACTGGTGCTAAGAGAAAAGTAACTTAGTTAGACATACTTTTTCTATAGTTCGGACATAGTTCTGTTCTCACCTCGAAAAACGAAATGCATCACCATATCTATCGATTCATTTGATTCACATTTTCTACATCACTTAAGTTTTGTAATGATAAAAACTGATTATCATGCTTGTGTTTATGATGAACAGGAAATTTCAATTGTTTCTCGATTTCTACCAATTCTTTTGATTTTATGGCATTGAGCATGGTTAACTTTTGTGCTTGACGTAGAAAGTCATGTACGGTGAAATTCACAATTGTAGAATAAGCATCACTTAGTGCTCTTGTGTTTCGAAAAATCGATTCACAAGATTGCGAATTAAACAGATAGAGAGTTAAAGCTTCCTTAGGTAGTTGCTCTTGTTGAACAAGTAAGATGAGGTATAGAAGACTGTGAGCATTAATTTCAACAGATAAATAAGCCGTGCGTGTAATAAAGTATTTTTCTTTACTATTATTATTTTTTTCGTTGGACGGAAAGGTTGTGTGTTGCAGCCAGGACCACCAAAATCGACAAACAAAAAAGATACACCATGCCATCTCTAACCCTTCAATATCAAAAGACAGAACTTTTTTAAGAAAATCGTGCATTCCGTGTCTTCGATTAACGATCGATAGATAATTGTGCTAGTTCTCCACCAGGCCGTTCAAAACGGTTCACTTAACGGCCTATTAGCATTACTATTTTTATACCGTGTGCACCACTTTCTCGCGGTTTATCCGACATTTTCGGCCGCTTTTACGCAGTTTTCGGTGTATCAAATTATAATGATCTAACATGGTCCATTTACCCGCCGTTAAAGGCCCGTTCTGTTTGGTACGCATGCACTCAATATATCTAGCTGGGAAGACATTACAACCCATTTTGGTCTCTAGCAATTTAAGCTGTACACTGGATACGTTTTTCTGAGTAGCTTCCAGAGCTCCGTATAGACTGGACTGGGTTCATAGTTCAGTCCAGTACACACTGAACTGGACTGAAATTTTTTGGGTTACTTCGACTCGAACTCGGCTGGACTCAAACTTTCAAGACCATCAACTGGTCTGGACTAAGAAAAATTTGGATAGATTTGAATGCAGGAAAAATCGGTAAAAGACAAGTTGTTTTGTTCTAATATGGGGGAGGCTTCTGTTATGGGGGGGGGGTTAGCGTGTAGGACACACTGTATCGAATTATTAACACTTTTTACTGTCATTTTTAAGATTTCAAACTGTCTAAGTTCATCATCAGAAAAATGTACAAAGATAAATGTATAAAGAGATATGTTATTTATACACGAAATTTGTACATATAAAGGAACATTTGAAATAGTCCGTCGGACGGTAGTTAAAACAAATGAAACACACGATAATACTAACAGGGAAGGGAAGGAAAAAGAAAATAAAACATTTGCATCTGTTTCCTCATTCAAAATATTTAATACATCATCTGATGTTAATTTAACACAAGACCTGTAATTCTGTCTATCTTTTGGGCTTATGTCAGATTTTGTCAGGCCGTGATCCAGTTTTGTGTAATTATCATTTTTCAATGTATTTTGTATTCAGTATATTTTGTTGAGTGCATATAATTCCATTACCAATTCGTAATTCCGCTCGCTGTGATAGTAAACGATTTCTCCATTTTGTGACAAGATGTATTAGATCTTGTAGAACTATAAACAGTTGTTGTCGAAGGAAAAACCACAGCCATTTGTTTGCAGTTCCAATACGAAAAGCGTCAGCACGTTCATGTAACTTACAATTAGGAAATGACGCAAAAAATCCACTCATGAGGCGCATTGCTCTCATATACTTATTATCACCGTCTAAAGAAAAAAACTAATTCAGAAGCCTCACTTGTTCAGAGAATCCGGAGTACAGAAAGGAACGACAAACTTTAAATACACGTTTAGTTGTTGAATTTTTTTAAACAAGGACAGTGGATGTGTTCAAAAAATAAGTTTTAGCTAAAACTACCTAAGAATTTCATAGCAGTAGTTACGAACCGAATCGATTTCGGTGCAGAAAAATGTGAAATTGTACATGTCAAAAATCCAATAATTCGAAATTCTTTTTCCATACAATTATCAAAACTAAAAATCCATCTTCTTATGATACCATATACGGTGAATTTGTTGTTGACTCCGTAAGGGAGCATTTCAAAATGTAGGACAGTCGCTCTGCCGTTCTGCCGCATTTAAGTTCTAATTTATTTTATTTTCTTTAATTTCGGTTCCTTTGATTGTGTTGTGGATACATATATACATTGGCATAGTCTATATATATTTATATACTTCCAATTTATTCGTTATTTTTAAAATAACGAGTATTATAGCATGTAAGCAAGAGATGCAACAAACGAAGAAGAGAACATTGTTATTTCCATTTACTACTATACAAGAAATATATCTCAAATACATTAGGTTTTCCACATTTTGTACGTATTCGACTACACTTTTTATTTAAAGTTTCTTTAAATAGAGCACTACTTTTCTGCTTTCCACTGAAAGGATAATGGAGCGTTTCAAAATATATTCCGATCAGTCAGTCGCTGATCCGTTACTCCTATGTTCCTTTCTCTATTCGCGAACTAAAAATCATTAATTAGAGAAGGTCTAATTCCATTGTTCATACTAGTTTAAAGTATTCGAGTTGTACACCATACTGATGTATCTTTTAGAAATTGATCTCTTTTAGTTTTTGAGATATCTGACGGTGAATATCGCTGATTATCATTTAAAAAAGCAAGTTTTTTGCAAAGACCTACAAGGACCAGTATGATGTATGTGTGAGCAAAAAAGTTAGTCTTACTGTTATACAACAGAGCATCATGTATTGACACATATCTTAGCTCGTTTTATTCTACTACTTTTACAAACTTTTAAACATGAATAATGCCGAAGTTAATAACACCAGTATTCCTGTTTGTATTATCATTGCAAAAAACTTGCTTTCCTAAATGATAATCAGCGATATTCACCATCAAATATCTCAAAAACTAAAAGATACATCAGTATAGTGTACAACTCGAATACTTTAAACTAGTATGAACAATGGAATTAGGCCTTCTCTAATTAATGTAATTTTAGTTCGCGAAGCTGGTACAATAGGAAATTTCCAGTGAGCACTCTCCTCTTTGAATATATAAAAGACAAACATTTGATCAAAATATAAAATTTATTCGTGTAATTTATATAAAAGTTATAAAGTGAAATATAATGTAACAGCACAATACAGGAATAGTCGCGGAATAGAGAAAGGAACTATATTCAGTAACGGTGATTTTTCGACCGTACTGAACCACGATTGTAATTTATCAAACGAATCTGTTTTATAGTATAGTGGAAGAGGTACACCGTTAGCCAACGGAGTAGAAAAACCGACAAAAGCATTTGTTTTTGAATCGTATTTGATTTTTCTAATAACTCCAGTATAGTCTTCTGAACAGAAGTCAAATTTCACATTGATTAAATTCAAATATTCTTTTAGTTTTTTTAAATCTAAATTTTCCTTAATTTATAGTTGCTTCATCCGCTGAAATGAGGGTGTTAATTGCAGTTAAATTTGGGATGGATCCTCGCAGATTAATCCTAATAAGTTCGTATGTCAATTTTCCGCCTAAAATATACAGACATACGGCAAAGTTCTTTATACACTCCTCATAACGATAACGGCTTTTTGCATTTGATAAGTTTTTGATGATTGTGTGCATGAATGATGACAAAAATTCATGTTTATGGTGATTTCCAGATTCATTTTTAAAGAAATTCATTAAAGATGTTGATAGTTCTAATGGTATTTGTTGTGGAAAAATCCTATTAGAAGTTTGATTTTATTCAGATTTCGAATGAAATAATTTTGATAAATATTTGAAACTGTTTTGTAGGCCTGGTTTAACCATAAATTGTCCATTGGTCAATTTAAAACGCGATTTACTTTTTATATCATCTAGATCTGCTGAATTGTATTTAAGAATATCAAATAAATTTTGTGTATTCAGCAATACTTGTGCTGAATTAATCGCTTATATTTTTAAAATATCTTTAAATAACTCACCCACTAATGTTGTAACAAAATCGAAGAACTCCCCATCTTTTAATGAAAGAATATTGTCTGGTAACACAAACGACTCGCAGAGATATTCTGTGTTATTCATTGGGAGAAATAATCATCTAAAACTCTTTGAAACGAAAGAAAGTTGACGAAAATCGGAAATCAGCTGTTTCCCCCTTGCATACATGGCAGGAGTCAAATTTTTGTTTTTTACTAAGAAATGTCAAACATAGGCGCAACGTGCTGCTGTCCAATGAGATAGAAAGAAAACAGCTTTTCTTATAGTTCCATCCTTTCGGACAAAAGACATCTTGAACGACTACCGAGTTATATGTATTTCTTCCTCTTCTTTGTCTGCGAATCCATCTGTCTGCCTATCTCATTAACATTCATTTCAATTTCTGTCAACAGCTACATCTTCTTACTACTTCCTGAACTTCTAATATGACATCTTCGATTTTCTATGAGCTTCAAAGTTTACCAGAAGATCGTACACCGATCTTAAATTCTATAATATGGTCAGAGATTTACTTGGTTGTTTACATGCAAGGTTATTACAATTTCGACATATTGATTCTGTGCCCTGCTTCTTATTAACACACGATGTTTGTGACGTTTTAAAAGTGGAAATTGATGACACAGAGTTAAATGCCATCCGTGACGAAATATGTTACAAACTGAAGAGCGGTGGTTACGTCGTCAAGGATGGTATTCAAACAAGTTTTCGTTGTTTTAAAGAATTTCTGTTGAAAAAAACAGACCAGAAAATGAAACAGTTAAAATATAAACGAAAATATACTACTACAATGACATCACCAAACACTTTAACTCAAACACAACTAACAACAACTACAATATTATCTCAAGCAACAACAGTATCCTCACCATCATCCATGACTTCTGAACAACACAAACAACAGCTCATATAATTAACAAAAGAATGGTTTACAACGATTCAAAAGATAGTTTTGAATTAAAGAAATTGATGTTAGTCGAAAGCAATGGCTATTTTTTAAATGTATTAGATACAGGTAACGTATTAGAAGCGAATGTTGTTTGTAACTGCGGTATTAAAACTGTTCTATGCAAAAACGTTGATAGATTTACAATGTCAAATTACTACAGACATTTGAGAAATACAAAATGCTCGTTATTAAAAAATCTTAAAGAAGAACTTCAACAACAGCAAGCAGCAACAGGTGCAGCAGGCATGTCCCACCAGCAGCCAGTCATTCAAATTATAACGACAACACCAGTTGTTGTTCAATCCCCTTCTTCTATTTCTACTCCTTCTGCGTCCTCAGTAACGACAAGAGCGAAACGTTCGAATGATTCGCAAAACAATGCTCAGGCAAAAAGAACTAAAAAATGACAGTTTATAGTCTTCTTTCTATTATGATACTCTCCCTGTTAGTTTTTAAGTGAATTTTTCTTTATACGTGAATTTGATTATTCTAGTGTCTGACGCGCATATCCATTGTAGCAGTTTTTAAGCAAGGTTTTAGTCTTTTCATAATTGTGATAAAATACCTATAATTGATAAACTACTATCAACCCCAAAATTCAAGGCACTCGGTTGTTTCCGAATAACTCTAAAACGATAAAAGATAAAGACTTGCAATTTTCAACAATCGAAAGAACACAGTTTAGCCTATGTTTTCATAAGCAAAACCCCTTTTCGAAACCATTCGGAACATCGGTTTTCTAGGGTATCTTTAGAAAAGCACTTCGGATCTTCGAAAACTGAGATAGAAATCTATCAGTTTGCTTTTATAGATAGATAGTCCAAAGTGTCCTCTCTAAAATGGGAACTAAGCTAACTCTTAATTTTTCCTAGTTCACACGTGACATCGGATTTCCTGAGAGTCCCAAGATCGATATTTCTTTAGGTGTGGTAATTCCGAAAATAAATGCAAACATCTGTAATCGACCACACTGAATATCGTGGCAATATTTATTTTTCAAAACAGTTTCAAAAACCTGATGAATACCTATGTTAGGTGAAATAACCCATTTTTGCCTATTTTTGAGTAATATTAAAAAATTCATAATCCAGTCAAGATCTATCCAAATTAAGTAAGTACCATAGATGTACTTATTTTACTTGCTTAATACTATGCAATTCAATAAAAGCTTTGAAAATCAACAGAAAATACTTTAATTTTTGAAAACCTTTTGCAGAAATTTTCCGAAGTACAAAAATGTTTTTACTGTTGTCAAATACAAAATCGTATTAAACAGGTAAAATAGAATACATCTTGGTATTCTGGCTTAATTTGGATCGATTTTGACTGGATTATGAATTTTTTAATATTACTCAAAAATAGGCAAAAATGGGTTATTTCACCTAATATAGGTTTTCATCAGGTTTTTGAAACTGTTTTGAAAAACAAATATTGCCGCTATATTCAGCGTGGTTGATTACGTACGTTTGCATTTATTTTGTTTACAAGTCTTTATCTTTTATCGTTTTGAAGTTATTCGTGGCGTCGACAGTAGAAAGGAAAGAGAAATCTAAACGCTACTACACGAACGTTCTTCACAGTATCGGCTGTTTAATACCCACACCGTTATCATGGTAGATTTCGGAGGTTAACTAGCATCTCTCTCTCTGACTCTCATTCAATTTGAGTAAAGTTTTCTTGACTTTTAGAAATTTACGTGCATTTGGATGAATTTCAGTGAATTCGGGTAAATTTTGAATTTACTTGAATTTAACGGACTAAATTTAGCGGTTTCCACCTTGTTGATTCCACATCATATGGCAAAAAACAAGGTAACGCTCATCCACACTCGCTCGGTCCCTTGACTTTAGGAACTTATATCTGCGAATGACCCTCCGTCACTTTTGAATCCACGACAATCTCATGCCTCCCTTCCGTCGACGTTCGCTAGGGCACTACGTAAAATATGTTCTAATTTTTCTTTGATTTGTTGTATAAGGTTCGTAATCTAATGTAAATCTAAAAGGTTTTCTCGAGACCACGCATAGATCTCCAGAAATCTAGAAATATTTCTGAATTCAAAACAATGCTCTCGCCTCCCTTCGGGCGGCGTTCGTAGTCAGTATAGCTGAGAAATGCTGTGAACTTCTCTCATTCCACGGAAAAACCGTCTTATGTAATATAAAGTCAAAAGGTTTTCCGAACACCCTCTGCAGATCCCAAGGAGGTTGGAAGTATATCTGACCGATTCGCTATCACACATTATCTGTACACAGTAAGTTTTATTATCCGTACACGACTTTTTTCGGTATTATCACCCTTGACTGCTATCTCGCGACATCTATCTCCGACCTGTAGAAAACGTTCGGTTAGGTTTTTTCGCTCTGCATTAGTAGAGATATTTCAGATCATCTCTTTGAACATTTTTTTGTCGCGTGGTTAAAAAGAAATTAATTATGCTTCTCGTTTATGATTGGCTTATCCATGGAATATCTGACTGTCTGTGTGTATGTGCGAAAAATATGGAAAAATGGCTGTGTTTCTAACCAGTGTTTCTACAGCACTTGTCAAAAGTACCGATTCCCCCTGTAACTCAAGAACCATGATAGCTAGAGACTTCTAATTTTGTGTGGGCATAGCTCTTATCGAATGCTGATCACGCACCAAGTTTGGACC